TCGGCACACGTCTGCCTCTCTTTCTTACTTTTTTGCCTTCCTTTATCTTTTATTCCTCTTATTCCCTCTTATAGAAATGAGGTATCTGCCCGATACGAAAAATCATACTTATTCAAATCTATCTTACAAACTCTCTAAATTTCTTGGAGTGAAAACTGAACAATCTCGTTCCAAAAGAGTGGAATTTTACTCCAAAAGAATGAGATTTCACTCTTTTGGAGTAAAATTTCACTCTTTTAGAATGAGATTGTTCAGTTTTCACTCCAAGAAATTTAGAGAGAATAGATTGACTGATGTAAATTATTCATACATCGATAAAACCGACAAGAGTATAATGAGGAATATTAAATTAAAACAACATAGCATCCTTTTTGAGTGAGATACTACAAAATGCAGTCAATAAACCTCGATCTCATGTCAAGGACAGTTGGTCCTTTGTGGAGATTATTAAAGACAGAAACATCGACGACAGCCATGTTATGATTTCGTTGGACGTGACTTCACTTTTTACTAACACCCCTTGGGAATTAATTAAAATAGCAATAGAAAACCGATGGGATGACATCTCACAATTTACTTCGTTTAGCCTTGCGCAGTTTTTACACGCCATTGACACGGTAATGCGCTCAACGAGCTTCGTTTTTGACGGAAAATTTTACGAACAGGTTTTCGGTTCTCCGATGGGGTCTCCATTGTCTCCGATTCTTTCTGACATTGTTATGGACGATTTGGAATCATACTGTTTGCGTCAATTGGATTTCGAATCCTATTGTTATTTTAGGTACGTCGATGATATTTTTTCAATTATTCCGAAAGGAAAAATTGAGGATATGCTTCGTGTGTTCAATGGTTTCCACACTCGACTTAAGTTTACGTTCGAACTAGAGAAAAATTGTTCTCTGAGTTTTTTGGATACGAACGTTATACGTATCGGTGGTAGATTGACGACTAATTGGTACCGAAAGCCTACGTTTTCAGGCCGCTATATTAATTTTCTGTCAAATCATCCTATGAGATATAAAATTAGCGTGATTACAAGCCTAGTTGATAGGGCTATTTTACTCGCTGACCCTATTTTTCATGAAGAAAATATTAATTTAATCAAAAGAATCCTTATTAATAATTGTTACCCGTTAACAATTATAAACAAAAACATCAATAAAAGACTTCGAGCGATTAAATTTGGCGGTAATCTTAACTCGCCCAATCGAAATAAATTTGATACGCGAAATTGCATTGTGTTACCTTACATTAAAGATCTTAGCGAGAATATTACGCGTTGCATCAATAAAAGTGGAATTGATGCTTTGTATACTGTCCCAAAAAAATTGGACACGTTGATAAAAAGAGGTAAAGATGGGATCGAAAACTTAAAAAGAACTGATGTTGTTTATAAAATTGATTGTGCGAATTGCGATTCGGCTTATATAGGACAGACAAAGAGACATTTAGAAACGCGCATTAAAGAACATAGAAATAACATAAAAAAAGACAAGACATTGCATTCTGTCGTTAGTTTACATCGGACTTGCAACGATCATGAGTTCCGTTGGGATTCTCCGGTGATTCTGCATGAGGAAAAACAGACAAGAAAAAGAGAAATTGCAGAAATGTTTTACATAAAAAACAAGGAAAAAGTATTAATTTACAGAAAGATACGGAGAATTTCAGTGGGATTTATGATCGTGTTCTTGACGTTATTTAAGTCGTTTTATATTTATTTTTACTTTTAATTTTATTTTTATTTTTATATCCACCTATTTATTTATTTTTATTTATTTGACTTTATTATGACGATTTAAATTACGAAAGACACATTTAGTTTCGTCTCTATCTTCTTAACGCTTAGTGACTAAGATTCTTGCGAACAGTTAACATCTATTTAATATGTGCTTACTTCTGTCAGTCTTGCATTGTTCATCAAAACAAGCGTTAACATTGTCGGTAGTTTGCATAGAAGTTGATTTACTGTTTTAAATTTGGTATGTAACACATTTTTGTTTTTAAATGTATAATTAATTGTTGCGAATAAGTGTATTAAATTATAATTATTTTGATGGAACTTTTTATAGATGTACTTGAAAAGGGCTGCAATGACAGCCGAAACGTTGTTGTATTTCAAATAATTATTTATAATAAATTATTGCCAGTCTGGTCGACTTTAAACATTGAGGAGTGGTTTTTTATTAATTATTACTGGCAACCTTAAGGATTATTATTTATTAAATTAAAACGTCGCGCATTGAGAATGCATCATGCTCTTTTCATGATGCATGCAAATTTTATCATTTACTGCAAAATGAACTCAATCATTGATTTGATAAGTGAGAAATCGATTGGTGAAATGCTAAACCTGTTCATACGAAAATGTTAATATATCTCGAATCTCGACGTGTCCTAATTTCACTTATAACAGTGAGCAAAGTGTATTTATATATTACGATACTCTCGGATATATCGATCGAGACACATCGCGACTTTATATATGCTGATCGGAGAGATATTTTAAGTTCAATTATAGCGTCGCCAATCAGGTTGAATATATAATCATCGCTCGCTATTTCGAATCTCTAATGCATCTATAATGCCTCGTATTTCTGAATCAACGAAAATCTTTAATGGCGATGAAAACTAAAGTCATGCGATCACGAACATTAATGAAAACTTCTATTTACATAACAGAATTTATAATCGAAAATCTCATTGAAGTTAAACTATTTTTTATTTATCATAAACCGAACATCTGTGTTTTCATTGCTGTAATAAATATGCACTTTTTGAAAAAAGTAATATCTAAACGTTTATGAATCAACTATTTCACTGAAAATTAATTCCGAAAGATAAATGTCAAACACACACAATATATAACTCTACGTTTTTATATTTATATATAATCGATACGAAAGAAATAATATCTGAAAAAGAGAGGTTTATTTACTTCGCGCATTGATTTCGCCGACGAGCAAATTACTCGACCACATCCTAAGAATACATCCAGTAAAATAAAATGCAGATTTCGTCGGATATGAGCGCCGTACGTCGTAGAATCTCATTGCGATTTCATGGTCCTCTCGGAAGGAGACGATGTCTCGGTCTCGGTCGACCGGCTCGTTTCGAATGCTACAAATGTGCCGCGCGCGAACGCGTTCGCATTCAGGTGGCTCGAGTAGGTGGTGAAAAAAATCACGTCTGCATTTACATAAGCGCCGGTATAAACCACTCGACAGAGAAATCCCGACATAAAACCCAAACAGGATACCAGCGCGGGACAGCACATCCGTTGAATACGCAATGGCCGTATGTAGCCGGTGTACGTACACACACACCCCCACCCACCCCTTTACCGAAAAATGCTTTTATTATTCACCGGTGAATTACGAACGCGACACTGTATACGTTTTACCCCGCCGTTTATGCTGACGTGCAGTTTACACGGCTCATTGACGACGACGTCTTTGAAAAAAAGAGGGAGAATCGCCCATTTTATTAGTATTGAATAAGCATTCCTTTTTTTTCTTTATATATGACATTCCATCGATTTTCTCATAAAATATTCAAACTTTCTCAAACATTTATTAGCTCACGCGATGATGTTGACTTATCACACATTTGACTTATATATAATATCAATAAAATAAATATAAAATATATTTAGCACACTTCTCTTTCATCAGATCGTTAAAATAGAGGAATAATTTTATAAAATAAGAAATAACACACTATAGAAATCGCGCTTAAGAAATAAAAAAAACGGAAAGTCGATTCTCTCTCAATAATTTATACTAATGACATGTATCTGAGGAATCCGGCATGTCCCAGAAACGACTTAAAATTTATGCGAGCCCTTCTGTAAGACAAATCGCGCGAACACGCCCGTCATATCGCGATCGATATAACGCGCTATACGGTATACGTCCAGAGAGTGATGTTCCCGGCACCTGACAGGAATTTTCAAGTCCCGTGGATCTCATGGGAAAACGATTTTCGTGTCCCTCGTGGATCTTCGATCCAGGGCGCGCGGTCTAAAACTGGCTGCCCTTAAAAGACGAGGCCACTTTCATGGCTCTTTAGCATTTCCGGGCGTAACGTCCTTTATGCGGACGCCTTTCTTGGAAAAGGGCGCGGGAGAGAAAAAATTGACTTTTAAACCGGCAATAAAAACGAAAATGTGAAATCTTTGATTTTAAAGGCCCTCGCCTCGCGAGGGAACGACAGTTGGTCGATGCGTATAAACCTCGCAGCGGCAATCTTATTTCTTCCGATATCGCAAGCCGAGCACGTTCGGTACCTCGTCACCATCCCGAAATCCGCGTGCAGCGGTATGTATATCGTGTCGGATTACTCCAAAATCCCGGACTTTTATACGCTGAATTTTAAAATACACTTCGGTCTCTGTCTCTGATTTTTCATTCCTCCGGAAATAGACAGGAAATGGACGTCAAAATTTACTAACATCACTCTGTAAATACGCATGTATTTTTTTAAGATCTCTCTTATTAATAAATTAGAAAATAAAATTCAGGAGAGAATCGTCAAATCATGTGACTACGTTTGTAGAGAACAAGAAGAAAGATAAGAGGGAGAAAATTGCAGAAACTTCCAATTTACGGTAATCCGAGTACGTCTGCGAATCGACTGAAAATTTACATTTAAGAGTCTTGGAAGACGCTAGAAGAAGCGGAAAAGGGGCGGCGTTTCGCCGCTTGTTTTTATTTTCTAGCAATTTCCTCGACGGAGCAGAACGGAAAGTGACCTTAAAGGGAATTAGCACGCTTTACCGCCTCTACCTATCTCGCGCAACTCTTAAACGGTATTTCTTCCCCTCCCTCTGCCACTTTTAAACACTACGAATCAACGTGATAACGATTGTCATCGTTTAGACTAACAATTTTATAAAAATTATACGTAGCTTTTGAAGCATGTTATTGCAATTTTGCACAAATTATTGTTTTTTATTTTAATCACAATCGTAACGCAATAAAATTAATTTCTGATTGCAGATTTTGCGTGGGGGACAGATTTTATCTCTGTGATAACAAGATTCTCTGCGAATACGATTACGAGGAGAGGCTGGTTTTCGCCAATATGGCTCTGCATCCTCCGCCTAGCGCGACTTTGGCGCACATCAAGAGACAAGTGACCCATCTTCAACCACCTCAGGTAAAGAGAATTTACAGCTGTCTTTATTGTCAACGAAACTTGCGCGATAACTTGTAAGTTCACGTAGTTTAAAATATATCTATCGATCAATAGAAACATATTTTCGTTATAAAAGAGACACCTGTACGAGGTAAAGTACAGCAGAACGTATACCTAGTGGAATCTCTTCTCTGGACCCTGGCCATCGGGTTTCAAACTCGCAAGGTTTCAAACTGCTCAAGGCGCAACCCCCTTAAGGCGGGTTAAAGTGGCAGGTCGCTCGTCCTGACCCTCTCGACAACAAAGGACTCCCTCGAGGCTTCAGCTATGCTTTACCATCCTGCCATCGTCTACGAGTTAGGATATCGCGTGTCCTTATTAATTAAGCTCGCCCGTTAAGCAAGCCTCGTCGCATGCTTTAACGATTTGCCTGTTCTTCGTCGAAGATGGAACGTGCGAAAGAATTTACTCTTCGCGAAGGCTTTCAAGAGCTATTCCGTAAGAATATAAGAAGCAAAGTCATTACGCATAGTTTGTAATCGCGAATCTTTGATTAATCGTGAATAAAAACAGATTTCGAAAACTTTTAACGCATACACGCGAAATTAAAAAATATCTTGTAACAAAAATAAAAGAAAAAAGTTGTTGCAGAATTTAATTTTATTTAAATTTAATTCTTATCTTTTCAAAATTGCAAGAAAGATTTCATGTAACGTTAAATGAAGTAATTGAAGCAAAAATAGATTATAAAAGCATGATAATAAAGGACAAATGGCAAGCAACGAAGAGCTGGCGATTTTCACCGAACAGAAACGTCCAGAATTATGAACTCATCGGCGTTAAGCTTGTTAGGATTAAGTCTTCTTGATTATCCTAAGGCAACAGCCTTGCTTCGAAACAATATCTTAAGCTCCTGCTGCACGAAGGACCACGTCCTACTCGACCCTAGGAAGCCTATCCATTTAATCCGTGTGCCGTCTTGCAAGGATCTCACCGTCTTCCTTGTATAATGACGTCACGTGTATTTAATTCGCGATATTTACTTGAAAAATAATTAGAGTCATTCAGAACAATTAAAGGATTATATCCTTTAATTATTACAATTATAATATTTGCTCTCTCTCTCTCTCTCTCTCTCTCTCTCACTCTCTCTCTCTCTCTCTCTTTTCTGTTTACAATTTTTATATATATTTCAATTTATAAATAAAAGTCTAATAATAAGTATATTAGTATATGCATATTTGTTCACCTGTGAAATTTAAAACCAAATTTCTTTCGAAACGAGAATTGGGGAGTAATTAAACTAGAACTACGTTAAAAAAATACCGTTCGCTCGGGTTTATATTTTCAGGGTTAAAAGATTTTCGTTTAAAAAAACGACGATAAATAGGGGGTAGGTATAACTATGGGGGTCGTATGACGCAGGGGCAATGAGGGGATAACCTGATAAGGGGATCATGTTACCTGATATATTTATAAACAAGATAAGATAAGGGGATCATGTTACTTGATATGTTCATAAACAAGATAAGATAAGATAAGCGGCGTCTTTGAGCGGTATCAAAGTTTTCATAAATTTTCTCCGAAAATCCAAGATAAGATAAGCTAAGTTTTCGAATCCAAGATAAGCGGCGTCTTTGTAAGGTATCAAAGATAAGCGGCGTCTTGTAAGGTATCAAAGATAAGCTTGAGCGGTATCAAAGTTTTCATAAATTTTCTCCGAAGATAAGATAAAAATTCTGCGAATGGCTGCCGCAAAATCCAAATCCAAGCTGAGCGCCGACATTCAATATCTATTACTAAGGGGTTGCGTTTCTTCTTCATCTAAATTTGATAAGATAAAATTCTGCGAATGGCTGCCGCCGTTTTCAGAATCCAAGCTGAGCGCCGACAATCGGATATCTAAGTTTGATAAGATAATTCTGCGAATTACTAAGAACAAAAGGTTCGCCGACAATCAAGCGGGTTGATCCGTACAGGTTGCGACATGTTAATCCGATCCGGCGTGTCGATCCAGGCTTGGATCCCCGACGGGGTGAAATGAAAGGTAACGGGCGGCCTTATCTATGTATTTCTAAGAATTATCAGCGATATCTAAATTTTCTCCGAAGATATCACACAAATATTTCTCGCGAATTAACAATTGCATCATCATCCCCACGAACAAAGGGATGATCGGGATATATAATGAGGACCGATGCAGCTGCCGGGCCATAGTACCACTGGCGAGCGCACGCTTCATTCGAGGTGCAAGAAAAAAAGTTTAGTGTGCAAAGAAGTTTTTTTGTAATAAGTGAATTTTTTTACAAAAATGGAGAACATTGAGCGCGACCTGTTGGAGCGTTCCCGCCAAGTTGCTAACTTGGGCGAATATTTCGGATGGCTGCAAGAGTGCGAACGGTTTATCGAAGAGCTGGAAGAACGCAGCCGTGCCAAGCGTCCGCGTCTCTCGATTGGACATAGACAATCTCTGGTGGCGAGAATAGCGCGACTCGAGGGTGCAAAGGTGCGCTTGCAGAGACGATATGTCGGTGAATCCATGCCTAGTGGTGGATCCATACCTAGTGGCAGCGGCGGCGGCAATAACGCGCAAAGACTCGTTTGGCGCGAAATCGATACGGCGTTCGATAGCCGTATACTGACCGGTGCGGTAATTAACGCAGACCACATCGAACCGCGTCAGTTTTTGGAAAATGCCGCAGACATTGTAGTCGAGAACGTGGAGAATGTGCTACAAAGACACGCCAGTGTAAAAGTGAACACTGTTTTCAACGGTGAATTTGTGTCCGGTGACAAGCGCGCCAATAAAAGTATTAACACGAGAAACTTTGAACTCTTTCGCACGTCCGATGTACGCGAGTGGTACGAGCGCCGCGTAATCGAGCCCACGCTAGCATCGCTAGAAGAGTTCCAGGAACGCGATAGCGGTTGGGCATTGTCGCGGATAATAGATTTGACAGAATGATATCAAGAGTACAATCCTATGCGCGCGGGATGTCGTCAAATTACCGCAAAAAATTGTAACAAAGAGAGCGGTGGTTAATGTGCGATCAGCGGACAATGCGTGTTTCGCATGGTCGGTGGTGGCCGCTCTGTACCCCGCTGAAATACATGTGGATCGAGAATCCTCCTATCCGCATTACACAACAGTGCTGAATCTCCAAAACATTGAGTTTCCAGTGACTGTGAATCAATTAAAAAGTTTGAACTTGCAAACGACATCTCCGTAAACGTATACATCATCGAGAACGAGAACATCGTCCCGTTGCGTCTTTCGGAAAAAAAGAAGGACAGGCACGTCAATCTGCTGTACGTGGAGGACGAAAACAGCGTTGGACATTTCGCGTGCATAAAAATCTGTCTCGTCTCGTGAGCTCGCAACTGAGCAAACACAAATGTAGAAAATTTATTTGCGATCGGTAAGTATATAGTAAACTTAAATTATATTTAAATATTTCTAATTAAATTTTTATTTTTTTACAGATGCCTACATTATTTCTATTCTGAGGACCAGTTGCAGGCGCATATGGAAGATTGCGGGAAACTGAACGACTGCGCTATCCGGTTGCCGAGCGACAAGGACAAGTGGCTCAGCTTCGACAACTACACGAGGAAGGAGCGGCTGCCGTTTGTAGTGTACGCCGACCTCGAGTGTGTTTTGGCAAAGACCGAAGATGCCAAAAATCATCAACACCATCAAGTGTTCAGCATCGCGTATACGTACAGTGTTCGTACGACAGTTCGTTGTCCGCGTACAATTCCCGCCGTAGTGTCGATTGCGTCGCGTGGTTCGCCGAACAGCTTAAAAATTTAGCAATCCGCGTAAAAATATTTTAACGACCAATGTCCCCATGGTAAATTTAACGCGTGACGAGTGGTTAAAATTTCGCACCGCGACGCATTGTCACATTTGTGAAAAACCGTTTGACGAAGACGATACACGCGTCCGCGATCATTGCCACCTCACCGGGCGGTACAGGGGTCCCGCGCATTCAAATTGTAACTTAAATTACAAAGAATCATTTTGTATTCCTATAGTCTTTCACAATCTGTCCGGCTACGACGCGCATTTTATTATCGAGGACATAGCCACAGCGTTCGAAGGGGAAATCGAATTACTGCCGATAACAAAGGAAAATACATTTCATTCTCGAAGACTGTTAAATTGACACAAGATAATAATTCGAAAAATTATATTAAATTACGGTTCATAGACTCATATAATTTCTCAGCGCTAGTCTCGACAAATTAGCGTCATTTTTGGATAAAGAAAAACTAAAAATTTTACATTCGGAATATCAAAATTTAACTAGTGAAAAATTCAATTTATTGACACGGAAGGGCGTCTTTCCGTACGAATACATTGACTGCGTGGACAGATTACAAGACACACGTTTACCGCCGCGCGACTCATTTTACAGTTCCTTAACCGGCGACACAGTATCCGAGAGTGATTACGCGCACGCCGAGACCGTCTGGAGCCGATTCTCCCTTCGAACGCTAGGCGAATATAGCGATTTATATTTTAAAATTGATGTCTTGTTATTGGCCGATATATTTGAGAATTTTCGCGATAGTTGTATAAAAGTTACGGACTCGATCCCGCGTATTATTATACTCTCCCCGGATATACATGGGACGCCATGTTAAAACATACGAATATAAAATTTGAATTATTAACAGACATTGACATGGTAATGTTTGTCGAACGAGGTATACGCGGCGGCCTTAGTCAATGTTCAGGCCGATACGCACAGGCTAATAACAAGTACATGCAATCGTACGACCCATCGAAACCCTCATCGTACCTCATGTATTTCGATGTAAATAATTTGTACGGATGGGCAATGTGTCAACCATTGCCGTATGCCGATTTTCGGTGGGTCGACGATATATCGAATTTTGACGTATCATCTATCGCGTTCGATTCGCCTATAGGCTATGTTCTCGAAGTAGATTTAGAGTATCCGCGGCATCTTCATGACGCGCACATTGACCTACCGTTTTGCCCGACGCGCGAT